GATCTACTTGTTCTTTTAGCAGTCCACGGTGCTCCCAATATTCTTCTCCAGCACCGTAGTTCAAGATGCATGGATTCTTCTCCTGTCTTCCTTATTCAGTGTCCAATTGCCACATGCATATGAGGCAATGGGAAATACCACGATCTGGGTCAGGCACACCTGAGTCCTCTGGGTAAAAATCTTACTTTTCAATATTCTCAGAAGGTCTTGTGCAGCAGGTTTACCTAATGCAATGTGTCTTGATGTCTTGATGGCTGCTTCCATGAGCACTGATTGTGGACCCAAGCAAGACGAAATCCTTGACAATTTCAACCTTTTCTCAGCTTATCATGATGCCACCTAGTGGTCCTGTTGTGAGGATTTGGGTCTTCCTTACATTGAGTCATAAACCATCTTGAAGGCTACATCCTTGCTCTTCCTCAGCAAGTCCTCCTCACTTTCAGCAAAGTCGTGTCATTCGCATATCTCAAGTTGTTAATGAGACTTCCTCCAATCTTGATGCCACAATATAACTGAGGACTTTATAAGCCATATAAGGACCATACAAACCTGACTTGCTGATGGTTTTCCCAGAATTGAATAAGTATGGTAAGAGGACACATCTCTGGGACACACCTTTCCTGATTTTAAACCATGCAGTATTCCCTTGTTCTGTCTGCACTACTACCTCTTGATCCATGCACAAGTTCCACATCTTCACAATAAAATGTTCTGGAATTCCCATTTTTTTTTTCAGAGTTACCCATTGTTTATTATTGTCCACACAGTCAAATGCCTTTACATAGCTAATGATACACAAGTAAACAATTTTTTCTGGCAATCTCTACTTTGAGCCAAGATCCATCTGACATTAGCAATGATATCCATTGTTCCATGTTCTTCTTTCATACTACTTAGATTATCCAAGGTCTGTTTCATTCCATATAAATTTGGTGATTAACTTTTCCACTTTTTAAAAGAAGGGTACTGGAATCTGAGTCAGAATTTTATTTTATCTATAGATTGCTTGGGTCAGTATTGACAATATTTTATCTATTAGCAGGATATTTTCTTCAAATTATGTAGGTCTCTGGTTTCGTACAGTGGTGTTTTGTAGTTCCTGAGGATTTTCTTCTCTCTGGTAAGATTTATTCCTATATATTCTATTTGTGGTGGGTAGCTATTATAAATTGCTTTCTTCTCCCTTTTCTTTTCATAGCTCTCTTTGTTCGTGTGAGAGTTCTGGTGTTATAGTTGTTACATGTTGGGGGGATAACTGCACGGTCCTCAGTTCAAATTCTCTAGCTGTTCCAAGGGAGAAAGACTGGGCTTTCTAATCCTGTTAAGAACTTCCTACTCCTGTAATGAGTTACAGTTTCAGAAATTCAAAGGGGCAGGGAGTTTGTTTTGTGTTTGTGTATTTTGTTTGTTAAGGTAAAGGCATCTGATTTACTTTTATACATTGGTCTTGTACCTTGCCACTTTACTAAATCTTTCAGTAATTATCTGTTGAATATTTGCATTTTCTATGAATTTGATCATATTATCTGCAAATGGAGATAGTTTTATTTCTTGTTTGCTAATTTGGATGTCTTTTTCCCTTCTAACTTACAATACTGGCTAACACTTCCAGCACAATATTAAGTGGGACTGATGAAAAAGGGCATCCTTGTTGGATTACTGTTCGAAAGTGGAATATGTCCAACCTCTCTCCTTTGAAACTAATGTTGGGTGTTGGATGTGTATATATGCTCTCAATCACGTTGAGGAATGTTCCTTCAGTTTCTATCTTGTTGAGGGCTTTTCTCAGAAATGCATTTTGACTTTTGTCAAATGTTTTTCTGTTGATTGATATGTCAAATGTTTTTCTGTTGATTGATATGATATGCTTCTTTTCCACTTTTAAAAAAATGTATATCTTTGTATAAGTATATTTGTATATGTATTTATATGTGTCGTATTAGTTGAATTTATTCATATGTATTATTATTTTAAATATCTTGTTGTGTTCTATTTGTTAGGATATTTTTGAGAATTAATCATCCAGTTCTTTTCCCATTAAGTATGATGAAATGCTAATGAGATGATTTTACTCATGGAGATCCTAAATGCTAATGAGATGATTTTTACTCATGGAAATCCTATGTGTTTTACAGAGTAGAACTGCTCAAAGGGGTTTTGGGTCTTCAATAATATATGTTCATAAATTTGAATAAATTCCTTTATATGGCTAGATTGGATAAAAGAGTTCTATCATTAAGTGGTATTTAATTGTGTTACACATTTACTGCTTCCTCTTTTTTTTCTTTACTCCATTTCCCTTCATCCTTCCCTGCCATACTCCTAGGTAATTATGCATCTAATTACTGTTTTATACATTTACATATCCTGAATTTCATATACAGAATATCATACAACACACAAATAGTAAGCGAACAACAGCAACCAAAAACACCCAACAACCATGAGTAGACAAAACATAGAAAAACCTCATTCAAAAAGAAAGCATACAATATTAAAAACGGAAACACCTTTGAAATGTATAAAAGTGAAATCAAATTATAAAGTATTGCATTTTAATCTAACTACATCCGGCATAATTGACTTTACATGCTCTCTGTCTGAGAACAAGGCTATTCACATTTCTTGACTATGGTCAGAGGTCATTCACAGGAGGCTTAATCCGCGTGTGGACCTTGCAAATGGATTTTGGCCTCTTACTGTCATCCTTAGCCTCTTGAAACCGGGTTTGAACACCCGGTTTAAGCTCTGATACCATTCCCGCTTCTGGATTTGGATTTTGTTATCTACAACCCCAGGATGACACAAGCTGGTGTGCTTCTTCCATGTGGACTTGGCTGTTACCTCATTTAGATGACTGCTTGTTTTAAGACAAGAATTTGAGACCCCAGAGAGGATTCTTTTTGATAGCCAGGCACCATCTGTTTTTTCACAGCACTTTGTTATAGTACCCATATGTACAGTGATCTCTTCATGAGGGTAGGTATGGAACAAGGTCATGTCACAAGAACCAATTATTCTTAGGTTGGGGTTATACTTAAGTGTGAGCCCCAAATTCATTGATGTATGTATGATTTTATGTGTGTATCTGGTTCAGTTTAGAGATATCAGAATCATTTTATGATAGAGAACACAATAAATTATCCCCCTGGGGTAGAAGGTAATGCGACTGATAGTTTCATGAATTTAGCTTGTGATATAGCATTTAAAAGGAAATTATAAAAGGATGTGCTTGTTTCAGACTGCAGTACACAAATTGTTGATTTGTACAGATGAAACTCTTAAGTGGCTGGACTCGATTTACCCAAACAATGGGGGTTGGTGGTAGAGGGGAAACTCTCAATAACACTCATTCACAAAGGCCAAATCATGTCTACCAGATTAATGCATGCCATAGGAAAGTAAAAAATGTATTAAGATAGTAAATATATGGTAGTACCAGGCCACCATTCATTTGGACACCTTCAAAGCAACAGGTCCCAACCAAAGTTTAAAGCAGTAGTTCTCAACCTTCCTAATGTCACGACCCTTTAATACAGTTCCTCATGTTGTGGGGACCCTCCACCCCCACCCACAAAATTATTTTTGTTGCTACTTCATAACTGTAATTTTGTTACTGTTATGAATCGGGTGACCCCTGTGAAGTTGGTTAAGTAGCTTTTTCATTTTGTTAATAGTTGTCAATTGGATTAGAATTGCATTGTATTTGTAGATTGCTTTCTGTAGTATTGACATTTTCACTACTTTGAGTCTGTGTAGGTATTTTTGGCTTTCTTGTAGTAGTTTTGTTTATATAGGTCTGTGATAGGGACGTTTATTGTGCCAAGCTGGCCAACAGGAACACGTGGGATTAATAGAGCAGTTTGATAGGAGGGCAAAGAGATAAATGGATTGGCAAGACCCATCTCTCTCTCTCTTGCTCTCTGGTGATCAGACCACCATGCTGCTGCCTCAACCTGTGAGCTACACTACTGGTGGGACAGCCAACCCAAGTATTGTGTCACTAGAGCTTGAGGTTCCTTTGAGACCAACTTCTCCATGCTGCTGGTGTATACATTGCTTGAGCTTCAGGCTGCCGGATACTGCTGTCTGGCATTGCTTGAGTTCACTAGCCCATCTGGCCTGCTTCCCTAAGTTCTTGAGCTGCTGACTATTGGTGACCCTCCATGCTGCCTGGGGCCGGACTGCCTGTATTGCCTTAAGGAAGACTCAGCTGTTTGCTTCCTTGACCTTGGACCCAGCTGCCCTCCTGAGTTGAAGGACTTCCAGTATATTAACTATTCCACACAAGTGAGTTGAACTGAATCCTCTGTACTGGTATGTGGACTAATTAGCTGTTATATGCCTTTGTGCTGTATATATCTCTATCTCTGTATCATCTATATCTATTTGTGCTATATCATATATATCTATATAATCATAAGTGTCCCGGTTTTGTTTCTCTCGAGAACCCCAACACGAAGTCTTTTGTTTCTTATGTTTATTCCTAAGTATTTTATCTTTTGTGTGGCTATTGCAAATGGTATTGTTTTCTTGGTGTCTTTTTTGAGAATCTCTTCCTTTATTCATCGGTATAAAGGAATTCAATCGATTTTTGTTTGTCAATCTTGTAACAAATTACCAAATTCCTCAATTTATAGAATTGTGGTGTGATAAGATGAATAATATGGTTATATATTTAAGTGGAATACAGATCAAGAAATGACAATAAAATTACTTTGGGGTATTTAGAAAAATAAGTTAAATAGTCACAGTTGACATCAATCAACTGCTGTTAATTACACTAATTAAAATTGTTCTGTACTATCATTCAGAAACAGTGGTTGAGAAATAAAGATGTTAACACCAGAAATTTAGAATGATAGCAAGAATTCTTTGGAGGATATAGAAGTCTTGGTTGTTAATTTGCTCAAGAGGATTATGAAGAAGGGATAACAAAATAAGAGATGCAATAAATGATTAATAATGGTGTGATGGCTTCCAATATTCCTTTTTTTAAGGTTCATTGCTTTTATCAAGGATATGCTGCAGAAATTTCTCACTCAGTAGTGACACTTAACATCTGTTCTGGCCTCAGGTAATGGTTGTTTATTAGTGCTATGAATTACTGAAGATGCTTCATGATTTTCAATTTTAATACATTTCTTAAAGAATATAGTGAAAGGCAAAGTAAATGCAGATTTTGTTGTAACTTAATTACATCTGTTCCCCTCAAAGTTCTATTTTTTGTGTGTCTTTTCCAAGGTAACAATTATAAAATGTACTTAGGAAAACTTCAGAGTATCATTAAGAATATATACATGTAATTTTAAAACTTTATGTTGTTTTGATGAAAATATACAAACCAAAAATTATAACATTTAACAAATTTCTACATGTATAATTCACAGACATTGATGATATTATTCAAGTTTTACAACCATTCTCTCTGCATTTACCCTAAATATTTCAAGATCATTGGGTCAAATTTAGAGGGGGTTGTACCTAGCACCTTCCTAGGTGGCCTATGAGGGAGAAAGGAGCAAGCTCCTTCTCAGATGGCTCTTTCTCTGGATGGCCTGGGATAGTCTAATTAGGGTGCTGACTGAGAGACGGGGTCCAAGTTAGGTGGCCTGGGTGCTCAGTTAGCTAGCACATCAGCCAGAATACATGGCCATTGCCAGAGCCTTTCTAGCTTAGCATTTTTGGCTGTGGTTGTTCAGTTGCTCAGTTACTTGTGCTCACTTCTACAGGGACAGAGAAATGCTGGGCTGTAGGGGAGTTAACCGGTGAGCACCCTTGTTAGCCAAGAGGGTTCAGTCCAGGGGTGCGTGTATGCCCAGGTGTTCACCCTCCCAGGTATACCAACACACTCAGGGATAAATTAGGTGGGTGGGCCATTTGGATGTCGAGTGTGTAGAATTCACACTGGATGGAGAATTAAGTCTGTTAAGTCTGTCATGAGATTGGTGGCTTTGTCTGGTAGGGGGAAGGGATAGGATTATCTTCCCTTTCCCATTACCCTATGCCATTTCCACTGTCCTTGGACTTCAGGGGGTCTTGGCTCATTAACCTATTGGGTTGATCTATGGACCATTTGATATCCACTCTCTCTTCCCTGATGATTTTCTCCTGGTTTTGGAGAGGGTCTCATTGTGGTCAATTGAACACCTTGACTTGGTAGTCTCCTCCGTTAAGCTTCTCACTAACCTTTCATGTTCCTATTGTCAATTTGATTTCACATATTTAATTCTCTAAGAAGCATATGAGGCTGAACACAAGTTTGGTTGAAAGGGGCTCTGGCAGCAGTGCTGAGTAAGCACTAATTTTAGACTGCTAACCACAAGATCAGCAATTCCAGCTCACTATCGACTCCCTGGAGAAAGTTGATCAAATCTGCTCCCTTAAAAATTCATAGCATCAGAAACCTTATATAAGGTCATTATGAGTCAGAATCTATTCTGTGGCAATTGTTTTGTTGGGTTTGGGTAAAATTTGATTCAAATAAGACTCTAAAAGATACTTTTAGTTTAATGTTTAACTTTTAAGGATTATATCTATGCAATTTGGGAGTTCATTCAGCTTCAATGACACTTGAAATTGAATTATGTAATATAAATTAAACAGTGATACATGTGGTTTAAATTTTTAAAATTATGCAGAACATTTACTTTCAAACGCTCATTTCAGAATATCTTCTATTATGGCATAATGTAACAATCATAGCTGCAAGGTGGGTAGGCAATGATCTTCTATGCATGTAGAGCAGCGATTCTGAACCTGTGGGTCGCGACCCCTTAGGGAGTCGAAGGACCCTTTCATAGGGGGTGCCCAATTCATAACAATAGCAAAATGACAGTTATGAAGTAGCAACGGACATAATTGTATGGTTGGGTGTATGAACTGTATGAAAGGGTGGCAGCACTAGGAAGGTTGAGAACCACTCATGCATAGTCTTAGCCATACTGGAATCACTTCTACTGTATGCCAGTCCAGAAGAAAGTATAAAATATGGGTTTGCAAGTTAACTCAGTGGATTATTCCTAGAAGTTATTTCCCAAATACCACTATCAAATTAATACAAACATTTTAATTTCATAATTATTTATATTTTTCAATTGCAAATTTATCCAAGTTGACTCTTATACTCAATTTAAATTTCAGGGGATTGCTGCAGTTGGAAAATGTCAGTTATGGAATTGAACCCTTGAAAGCTACAAGTACATATGAACATATACTTTATGAAATAGGAAATAAGAAAATGGATTTTTCCCCCTTGCAAAGAAATTATACTACAAAACAAATTGGGGATAATTTCTATCGGATTCTTGTAAAATCAAAAGTAAGTAACTCCTTTAATGACATATTTCCTTGTGTAACATTGGATATAGTATTTAACATTGAAATTTTAGGGATTTAAAGGATAATTCATTTTAACACATTTTGTTTATTATCATTAATATTGAAAACATACATAATTTAAAATAATAAGAATTATGGTAACACAATTTTCTAATTGCAGTTAGTTTGTAAATATGTATTTTGTTGCATTGTTACTAATCTGCTTTCTTCACTAATACATTCTAAATTGTATGATTTCTTCCTAATCATTTCTGCATTTAACATATTCCCTTTGTTTAATTTACTATTTTGATAGAAAACATAAAAATAAAATTGATCAAGGCTATACACTAGAAATTGTCTCAAACTCCGTTATTTAGGGATGAACACTTGATTTTTTAGTATTTCTTTCAATCCTTTTCCTATGCATAGTTAGAAATACTCATTTACAAATATGTACTTTTTTTACATGAGAAAATGCTTAAAATGAAAATTATAGAATTATATAGCTCATTTTGAAAGTTTCTACTCGCTATTAAAAATATCGTGGATCCAAGCAACATGAACACTACTCCATTTATAATAACGCTGCCTATTGGACCAGTTGTGAGCACGTTGCCTCTGTTTTCATATTGTAGGCTGCAATCCTGGGTCTTCATCACCAAGTGCTTCAAGTTCTCCTCACTTTCAGCCAGCAAGGTTGTGTCATCTGCATTTTGCAGATTGTTAAGAAGCCTTCCTCTGATCCTGATGTCCCAGTTTTTCTTCATAGAATCTAACCATTCTGGTGATTTGCTCAGCATACAGATTGAATATGTATGGTGAGAGGATACAACCCTGCCACACACCTTTCCTGATTTTAAACTGCACGTCTTCCCTTGTTTTGTTCACACAAGTGCCTCTTGATCCATGTATCAATTCCACAGGATCCCAAGGAAGTGTTCTGGAAGTCCCATTACTTTTGAGACTATCTATAGTTTATGATGGTCCACAGAGTCAACTGCCTTTTTGTAGTCAATAAAGCACAGGTAAACATCTTTCTGGTATTCTTGGCTTTCAGCCAAGGTCCATCAGATATCAGCAGTGATATCCCTTGTAGCATATCCTCTTCTGGATTTGCCCTGAACTCTGGCAGCACCTTGTCAATATTGTGCTGCAACCGATGTTAGGTGATCTCCAGAGAAAGCTTTAGATGCCTGGGATATCCATTACATTGGTCCCTAGTTTGAGTTTCCTGTTGGGTCGCCTTTCTTTGCAATGGGTAAACATAAAGATCTCTTCCAATCAGTTGGTAAATAGTTGCTGTCTAAATTTCCTGGCATAGATGAGCGAGTGATTCCTTTGTCTTAGCAGCTTGTTGAAGCATTTCGATTGGTATTTCATCAATTCTGGGAGCCATGTTTTTGGTTAATGCCTGCAGTGCAACTTGGACGTCTTCCTTCAGTATCGATGACTCTGGCTCATATATACTACCTCCTGAAATGTAAAATGTTGACGAATTCTTTTTGGTGACTGTGTATCTTTTCATCTTCTTTTGATGCTTCCTGAATCATTGAATATTCGCCCATAGAATCTTTCAGTACTGCAACTTGTGGCTTGAATTTTTTCTTTAACTCTTTACATTTAAGATATGTTCAGCGCTCTAGATAAAGACATGTACATAT